TACTGTGGGAGAAATAAAGATCTGAGGAAGGCGCTACAGACAGACAGACAGGACACACACACACAATTCAATGATGATAGTGGAGCACTTGTGTGTGACTGGAGCTGCCTGTACTTTCTCTTATATTGATTTCTCTGTGTGACTCTTTCTAGTAGTAGTGGGTCTCTCCTCTTATCGGTCTTTCTCTCTGTGACTCTACTAGTAGGCTAGTGGTTGGGTCTCTCCTCCTCCCCTATGGTGACATCAGTCAGCTCAGCAGTGTTATCCAGCAGGCAGCACCACCTCCCTTCAGGGATAATATTTTATGACTGAAACCTGACACTGTTTCTGTGTCCTATAAGCGGCAGAGCTGTAACTCACTTCAAAGGCAGCTGGCATCAAATCACAGCACAGCCATAAATTGCCCTGTCACGCCTGGGCCAATCAGGACGCGGCACTAAATCTCACGTCACGCTGGCGGCCAATGGAAAGACGGCTGCGGTAAATCTGTCAAGGGTATGTCTGTTAACGGGGTCGTGGTGTAGTTGGGGAATCCGTGGGGAGGGAGGAAGCGAGGGGAGAAAGTGAGAGAGAGAAAGAATAGATGACAGAGGGAGGAGGGGAGGGAGGGAGTGAACTGAAGGCTACAGAGGTATGCCACAGAATAAAACGCTTGTTTTCTCCCTCTCTTATTCTTTAGCCACGCCATGTTCAAAGCCACATCCAAAACATACCGTAGTAAAAAACGTAAGGAGCATAGAGAAGGCAGACAGAGGAATGTGAGTAAAACAAGACAAACACGGCCACAAAAGAGGAGAAACATATGTCTGTCCGTCCCCCTGTCCCAGAGGGATGGTACTGGAGTTGAATAACACCAGGAAAAACACCCATAAACCTTTACTGCCACCATGGACGGCTGTATGTCTGATGTCTGCAGTGAAAATGAGTTATGGGAATTATTTTAGCACCCTCTCTTTGCATCACTAGCCTACTCCTCCAGTCCAAACTGTAGGCTCTGATAGCCATGAAACAGCAATAACAGTGGGCAGACAGTGGGACAAGCTGGAGGCATGAGGGCAGACAGTGGGACTGACTGACTGACTGGCTGGAGGCAGGCTGGACTCAGGCGGATACTGCCCCGGGACTGGGGGTCAGGGTCTGGGGCTGCGTGCCGTGAGCTGCATGCTCTGCTTTGAGAGGCCTCTGGCTGACCAGATGTGGTCCCTCCTCCAGCTCCCTGCAGCAGTCTGCGGTCAGCAGGTCCAAACGAAGAGTGGTTGTTGTCTGGGTACTACAGCACAGCAAGACAGAGGCCTGGATCTGAAGGGATTTCATTATGCTTCTAAATCACAGAGAGAGAGAGAGAGAGAGAGAGAGAGACAGAGATAAACTACCAGCTGCTCTACCAGCTCCTCTACCCACATCAACAGCCTTGTGCGGAATGAAATGTGAGGGTTCACATCACATATGACACTTTTCACGTGTTAGGACATAACATACTATAAAAAAAAAAAAATGAGAACAGACTTTCAGTGAGTAACAAGGAAATAACATTTTGCCAAACGTAAACTGCTGAAGGCATAGGAACTGCAAAAGGCATAGGGGAATGGTAGGACAAAGAGGGAGAGAAGCCAAGCCAAGTTGGAGTATTTTGTCCATTTACTACACTCTGGATAATGCATGTCATTAACCTATCAAAGTGTTGGAATATTTATATGACAGTTTGAGAAACAAATGAAACTTGATGAAAGATGGATAAATAGCTTCGTGCAAAAGCAAAGTTATTCAATGATGGAAAAAAAAAAATAGCTTTATCCTAACAAACCTGTGTAACTTTCCCACCGAAAGGATCAACGTCAGCTAATAAACCAGCTGCAGTCCTTGTGACATTTATCATCATACATCAACACGGAATTAAACATTCGCATCAGGGATTTATCGTCATCTTATGTCATTGATATTAATACAATAATTGTTTTCTCTCGCAAAAACATAGACTGTGTGTTGAGTTATGGCTGAGGAGACCGGGGCAGAGAGAAAGTGCTGTGGTCTGTGCTCTGGTGGTGCTGTTGTTTTTGGCCGCCTACTCCACAGAGCAAAGCAGCAATGATTTTCTATTCTATGGGAATCCATAAACAGGCCCTGTGAGGGCCACTATGGCGACCAGAGCCATAAAGCATGTGATGCTGTTGAGAAGAGGAGAGGAGGAGACCAGCCCAGGACCCCTTTACTACCCCTCCTCCATCCACGCTTTCAGTACCAGCTCCCCTCCACACACACGAATGCACGCATGCATACACACAAGCCTTTATTGCTCTCATTCACACAGTCTCTCTGTGCCAATAAATTCCTTTTGGATTGGTTTAAATTGAGCAAATGCAGCTCATGATTCTCTATTTTTCTGCATTATTCTGTTGAAGGCAGACAAATAGGGGTGCAAATGTTTGGTTTGTGTGATGCATCATTGTCTATCCTATGATAAAACACAATGTCTTCTGAATGATCACATTGTGGACACTGCAGTAACAGCTGAGTGGATGTTTGAGCGTTGGTGTATACCAGTGATAGAGAGAGAGGAAGAGGAAGTGTAGGTAATGAAACAGTTATGGGCTTTGACCTGCGGACCCACTGTCGGGCCTCCAGTCAGATCCTCTATTGTGTTGCTAGTAGGACAAGTCCACCACTCTTTACTGTGTTGAAGTGGATACAAAGATGCCATGACTGACAGTTGTGTTACCATCACTGGTACCATGCTATTTATTCCCTCCAATATCAAATCAGTCTGCTGATACTGAAGCTCAACCTATAGTATATGTCCCAGTCAGTGTGTGATTTCAGGGGAGGGGAATCAGGAGATGTGAAGGTTAAAGAGGACAAGGTTAGACAGCAGCAGATCTAGACAGCAGTACTGCCGTAAGTGCTTCGATTCATCTCACTGTGTCCTCGCCCAGCAGGGGAGGAAGGGAAGGAAACAATTCAAATGGATCCAGCACGCACAAACACACATTGGTACCTCCTGTCCTGCCATTCACTCACATAGTTTTCATCTAGATATTCTATATGTCCCAGTCACTGAGTATGTGTCCTGCCGTCCGCTCACTTCCAACTAGATATTACACCGGCGGGCGGGCAGGCTGGCAGCACCTTGGGGCAGTCAATGACTATCTTTCATTGGATAATTATCTTTCATCGTAAAACGCCATAGAGGTAATTTATATTAATTATACAGGAATGAGTATAATAGTTTGAAACACCACGGTTGACACGCTGTACATAACACGCCGTAAAACAGTCAGGGGTGTGTGGTGGGCTCGAGCCTTGTAATTGATCGACAACAACAGTGGCATTGTGTCTGAGCAGGTCTAATAAGCAAATATTTTAACAAAAAGGACAATTATGTCTAGGTAAAGGCTTATAAGACCTCACTAGCAGGTTTGAGAACTGTTGTTCTATGAAACACAACCTTGCCCCATTTTTACTTCTCCTTTAACAAGATTGTGAGTGTCGGTATTGTCAAACTCCTCTGATCTGACTGGATATTAGGACATTAATTGAACGCTCCCTTCATCTCTCTCTCTCTTTATCTCTTTCCGCCTTTGATATCTGAGCCAAATCCTCATTAAAGATAGAGAGAATCGAAAAGATAAGGGAGCCCGAGGTGAACAGCAACCTCATCCAGCCATCCATCCACTGTCCATTAGCAGTAGCAGTACATGCTCTCTGTCCTAAAGATGGGTCTGTACACGCTGGGGTTGTCAATATACAACAGGCTGTGTGAGTGAGTACATTCAAGACACAGAGGGAAAATCTATAACATTCTCAAGCCTTTAAAAATATATATATGATAGACTAAAGCCATTGTATTATCGTACTGATGATATACTGATGCGTGATGATATACTGATCCAATACGGTTCACATTAGACATGGTCATAAATGGTAAACCAGTTATGAAACATGGTTCACATCTCAGTTTGCATCAAATACCTTATAGAAGTCAGATTGAGAACGCGTGTAACTACACTAGGGTCAATAGGCACCAAACAGACAAACAGGGAGGGACCATCTGGACTTCTTAATATAATTCTTAATATCGATTTCCATTGCGAAAAGTTTTACAACGTTTCATTTGCGTGCCCTTATGAATACAACCCAGCAGTGCTAGAGGAATGCAGCTACTAAAAGAACATGATATAGTGCCTGATTCCACACCCATTTCTCTGGAGGGCATCTTTCATTTGCATTAAAATTAGTGTTGGGGGGGGGGCGCTCTACAAAAGAAACCATGCAATTCATCTCTCTACTGCTCAATTTGACATGGATTGGATGTGCAGTGAGATTACCAAGGGAAATCTAGGTACCAAGGAACTCAAGGTAAAAACATGTCTTACAGTATTCATCAGCACCTAAATACATAACATTAACTGAAATTGTCTCATTAAAGACGCATTCAGTTACATCTAAATAATTTACCTCAGGAATGTGTTTTGACACATCAACCAGGAGATGGAGCCCTTGCTTTAGCTGTGAGTCCCTCCCTGTGTGGCTAGCCAAGTTCTCTGGAAATACATGGTCTGACATGGGAATGCTGCAACTGAGGAAACAGTACATGATTCAAGTGGACTGAAGTTCCACATAATCTACAGTGTATTATAAACTGGGTGGTTTGAGCCCTTAAATGTCCCGTGTAGCTCAGTTGGTAGAGCATGGCGTTTGCAACGCCAGGGTTGTGGGTTCGATTCCCACGGGGGGCCAGTATGAAAAAGTATGAAAATGTATGTACTCACTAACTGTAAGTCGCTCTGGATAAGAGCGTCTACTAAAATGTAAATGTTGAAAATGCTGATTGACTGACAGCTGTGGTATATCAGACCGTATACAGTGTAATGGAGCATATTTATATTTTATAGTGGCTACCGTAGTTTTTATAAAAACCTTACATTAACATATTTCGATGTGTGACAAGATCAATAGGGCGATCAAGAACATAACCAACCACAAAATATCATAGTAGTCGAAGCTTCAGTGTCTATAAATGTTTTTATTCAAAATATTTAAATGACTGAGTTTATACAGTACTCTGAAGAGCACAGAGTGACTAACAACGATGTTGCCTGATCTGACCACATGTCTGGACCATAGAATTAGAAAGGAGTTATTTCTATGGTCTGTACTATTGTTAACACATGTATTGTTATCAGAGATGAGGGGCATGAAGCTGTCAACTGAAATGGTTAGGGTCTGTGGAAGAAAACGCAAACCAAGCAACTGGAATGTATGGACACACTACCATCCAATATCTGTCATAGCTAGCGTTACAGCTAGATATCAGAAGAATACACCTTTACAGTAAAGACACACAAATTATAGAAATGATCGATTCAGACAGACAAAACTCTAAGATATCCCTTGCCCTGGCAGTGTCTGACTGGCTGAGAGATCATCCTCTCGTCAGCCCTGATTGGAGGAATGGTGAGTAATGAGCACAGGGGAAGAGATGTCATCACAGAGAGAGGAGCCATGGATAATGGTGGTACAGTGTTAGATGAGGGGAGTTGAACCGGGGAGTCGACAGGTCCTATCGTAGCAGAGACCATTTGATCTGTTCCTTGGCAGACTGCAGCACCTGTGGATGAAAACTGGCCTTATAAAACAGATCATACCAACACAAGTAAACATACAAACAAACCTGTTTTTGTAATAAGCCTCCAACATGTGTTTACGACATCCATTTTATAGGGATGTGCATCTCTCCTTACAAGCACGATTCAATACGCATCTAGATACATGGGCTCCGATACGATACAGGAACAATACGTTTAGTTTGAAACAATTCGGTGCGATTTGATTAGTGGAACGAATCGATGCGATTCGGGTCGACGCATTAACAATTGTTGCATGAACACATTCATTTTCCATTCTAAATGAATATCTGATACTGATGGAGCTCAGGGGCTGGATCTGTCTGAGCTGACTTCTTTGAGTGGCCCTGTGCGTGTGTGTGTGTGTGTGTGTGATGTAGTGTGTGAGCTGAGCCATAGGGCAGACTGAGAATCTACCACAATCAGATTGAGGGGGGGGGGGGGGGGGATTTATGTTTTTGTCCCCACACTTTTAATCTGAAATCCTCATCACCCACTGATTAACTTGTCATATAGCATATTAAAATGTTTTGAGCTAGTAATATGTCAATATCTATCTTTAGAAATTAATATAACCGTTTTGGATTTCACCCTCATCTCAAAACCAAATGGTTTTGACCATTGGAACCTTACTAAGGAGAGCTGCTCTTGTCTAGAGTTCAGAGCAGTGAGGCTTGCAAAGATTATTGCTGTTCTTGTTATGAAATTACACCATTACCCTGTTCATGTAAATGACCAAATGCACTGACTGTTTAAAGCAGAACTACCAAAAATATTTTGTATGGTGAACCTGGCAATCGAAAAGCCCCAATCAGCAGTTAGATGTGCAATCAGCAAGATATAAGTGTCCACTCCGGTAGCATACACAGCGCCACCCGTAAACACACAATTTTCTACAGCGCATTTGGTAACAATGACCCAGCAAATTACATTGCTTGTCCCTCAATTAATAAAGCCTATGATTTAATATTGCGAAAGCCATTTGACAAAAATCTGAATGCTGAAGGTGACACACAGATGTAGCCAACAAATATTAGAACAGGGATAGGGTAGACCCTACCCCTCGTTGGTGCAAGCAGCTGCGTCTCCTGCATTGTACACACAGTAGTTATAAAAAAATTGAACTTCAAAACGAGACTGTCCTTATCAAAACAAAATGAATGTAATCCACCGAATTAATCCATCGAATTAATCTAATCCCATCCACCTTGGTTTAGAAGAAGACCAATTGACAATTTTAAGGAAGTGGAGGGAGACTATATGATTCACCCAAAAATTCAATAATTAAATTGACCTCAACATAACGTTTCACAAAGGCTGGATGGAGGAAGATGAGTAATGCCAGTAAAGGAAAATATGCAGGAATTAATTAATCATCTTAATTCATTGAAGGAAAGCAGAACCATAACCATAAAGCATGAGTAAGACAGCCAGCCATTAATCAGTAGACAGGGAGAGAGAGAGAAGGGATGGCAGCCTGTCACAGGCCTCTTAAATGAGAACATTAATCAGGAGAGGAGCTAAACTCAGACACACAGGCGTGTGCACACGATGGAACCGCCACTGGCTACCGTACCACCAGCCAATCATTTCCAATTGTGTGGTTTACATCCAAAAGGACTAAGGAAGTGTGAAAGCAACACAGTAGGATTGGAGAAGGTGAAGTATGCTGATCATCAACATGCCCTTATTGTAGATGAGAGGGACATTGGTAGCCTGGAAATCCAGACTGAATTCAGCACAGTTTTTGTTTTTGTTTCACTCCATTGTCACTAAATTAGTGAAATGAAACATGAGGTGAAATGTAGCGTGATTCAGTCTGGATTTCCAAGCTAGGACACTGGGCCCCGCTCTAAGCTTGTGTCCAAAATGGCACCCTATTCCCTATATAGTGCACTACTTTTGACCAGAATCCTATGGGCCCCGGTCAAAAGTAGTGGACTACAAAGGGAAAAGGGTGCCCTTTGGGACACACATTAAGTCTCAGGAGAGTGGAGAGTCAATAATGCAATGGAGCATATTCCACACTGAGCAATGTAGTATGTTGAGATGAATGAGGTAATTAGGGCTGTTTTTCTTACCTGGGTGACAGTCTGCTCTGAGTAAGGCACATCTTCCCCCTGTAGGAGAGCACAACACATAGTGGCCTTCAGGGCATAACATTCACTTTTTGGTCCACTAGCCACTGTGGTAGGTAGATTTAAAAAATCTACCAACCACTATTTTTTTGCCGCTAAAATTATACCAACAAAACGGATGAGCATGCTTTGTAATGTTTCTAAAACAATATTACTAGTAAGAAGTAACTAATGTGGCATATTGAATAATTGTTTATTTTTTGTGATCTGAGTCTTTTAACCAAAATATCACAGATCAGACAAAAAAAAGTTGTGTTTGTGCCTGTGAAATTTCATCTGACTAGTAGAAGCATTGTCTTCTCTTCCCTGGTAGTTGAAACTCAAACATAGAAAAACAACCTAGCTTGTGAACAAAACAATGTAAATAGCCAAGAAACCAAGGACAGTCTCACTTCAGTAAAATGTCATTTCACCTGCGCACAGCCCCCAGCCAGGCAGTGTTGCAGTGCAAGGTGGGATAGGCTATATAGGATTCATAGTTATTTGATTTTGTGCGATTAATTTACCAGCTATGAAACAAAACGGCAGAAATACTTTGAAAACAGCTACTACAGCATTTATTTTACTATAAATGTGATCATACTTGACTTTTTATTCACAAATGCGGGTGAAATGCTCGCACTGTGGAGCCCTGACCACCCGCCAATGTGACTGGTGAAATGTACATTAAGATGTCTATTAAGATGCCAAAATCTACCCACAGGTGGCTGGTGTTCATTTTAGGCCCTGGTGGCCTTAGCTCCTGGTCACACAACAGCAACAATACTCAGAACATGTTCCATTAGGGTCCACTAGGTTGAGTGAAGAGTACTTTCTAGGGAGGGGAGGAGAGGAGAGAGACCTTTACTTACCCATAGAGCCACACGGTGGACCACTTGCTGAGGATCACTCTCCAGAATCACTCTGTAGGAAACAGCAGGGAGAAGCTTGTTATCACTCACACACTGTGCAAAGACAGAGGGCCACACTGGACCCACACTCAGTAGCGGTGTGTGGGTAAAATCACTGGGGAAACCAGAAACAAAAGCCATATTACAACCTGTGTTGTGATAATTGCGTTGTTTGCTCTATAACCTGTTAGTTCATGTCTTGCCACCGTGATATATAGGCCTAAAGGCCGAGACAATAACTTCAACCACACCTTTGTTTCATCACAAAACCGGAGAGAAACCTCTGTCCGGTGAAGTCGACAAAGCATATTGCATGTAACAAACAGTTACATGACCTACAACATGGTCAAGCAAGTTAATGTTTCCGACATATTCGGACCACTAAACAACTATTCCACCGAGAGTTACCGCAAGTCGCAAAGAAAACAGGAGCTGCCTCCACTATTCCAGCACCATTTCAACAGAATCAAATCACCTCTGCTTAGTCTAATACATTGACAACTAAAACATACCAAAAACAATTTAGTCCAGTCAACGTCAGCTAAATATGATTTGGCTGTCCATGTTTCGGATTTATGTGCGTGCTTTCAAGTAGAAAAACATGTTGACTCACCCTACTTGTAGAGAAACGCCAATGCCATCCTCCTCTCTTTCATGTTGACGAAACAGTCTATCACGCTTTTATTTTTTGCTTTGTTATGCTTGCTCGCTAGCCTAACTTCCTTTCATGGGCAACGTTATAACTACATATTGAACTAAAATCCTCTCAGGCCAGGGGCGCAATGTATGAATTAATGGTTGGATCAGAACCGCCGTTATAATCATTGGCCAGTACGGTTAATTAATTAAAACCACAAGTCCAAATCCCTATCTCCATCCATGGCTAATTTAGGAAAGGGCCAATTTTAGCTAGCTGCAACTGGAGGACAACAACACAACGAGATGCAACAATTCAAGTTGTTTCTGTCAATGGGGTATGCTCTCGATGCGATAGGAGTGACGCCAAATCCAAACTGGCTTCCCTTGACACTTTTTTTTTTGGGTGCGCCAGGACCATTCACTGTTGAGCTCACTCAGTTTAGCTCAACGCAGATTGTCTATTATTTTATACTTTTTTTTAATCAAAGGACGCCAAATGCTCGCTGGCATCCATTGCATTCAATGCTACGGGCGGCAAAAATGTCATACTCTTTTGGACCAGACAGCATCATATAGATGCCCTACACATACAGAGACAGAGGGGCGCTGTTTCGTGAATACACGCCACTGCCCACACTTGTCTTGTTTTACTAGCACTGACCTTACTGTTAGCTGCTTTATTGAGAAAAAGTTGTACTTACTATGACATGTTGTTGTCTTACCTAGCTACCTTAAGGTGAAAGCATTAACTGTAAGTCACTCTGGATAAGAGGATCTGCTAAATGACTCAAATGTAAATGTATAAGATATAGAACTCACCCTCCATCCACAATTTCATCCACAGCTAGAAAGAGACCTTCCATGTTTTCAAGTAGAGATCTCCTCTCAACATTCTTCCTACAGAGACAGACAACAGAGAAATAATTTAAGCTTGCCTTTTAATGATAGATGACTAAATATGTGCTTTAATAAGCTTTAGATCTCACCTCAACATTTGGCTAAGTGAGTCAAACAGACAGTTTAGAACAGCCATTAGCATCAACTGTTGGAGGGAAACAAAACACAGAAACAACAAAAAAGTTATTTAGAGCATGGCAGGGTGCACTGAAATGAAACATACAATTAATGTATTATGTGATGACCTCATTTTCATGTGAGCTTCCAATGACATAGAAGAAAATATCAATGTTGTTCTTGTAGACGACTGTGAGGCCCTCTAGCAAAGCGATCTCACCTGAGTAGGCACAGAAACATGACAATGAGACACAACAAAACAGAGGTAAAACAATGACCTGTGTGTGTGTGTGTTAGTGAAGCGCGGGTTGACTCATAATAATTTTCTGGTGACCAAGGATTTATTTAGCCTTCTAGGGCAACAAGTAATGACAGAAGAGATGTGTATCTAATTATAGACAAGTTGACTGACAAATAGCCTACCAAAATGTAGGAAATTATAAGCAAAACATAGGCCTATCTAAAATAGGCGTAAAAACTAATCCTGCACCCACTGTCAATGTACAGCGCATTTGCTATATTTGTGGGTTAGGGTCAGGTGCGGCCCTCAGTTTTTCACTTTATCACATATAGTTGGGCGGTTGCGGATGGGTTATTAGCAATTGCAGGCAGGTGCGGGTGAACAAAGCTGACCCGCACATAACTAGTGTGTGCGTGTGTGTGTTCAAATGCATTTCTTACTGTCTGTCCTGTGTGTCTTGCTGAAGATGTTCTTCTCAAAAGCTTTCTGTTCCTTCACTGAAGGGTATGTGTCATCATAATACTGTAAATAAAGCATTAAAAGCATGAATAGAAGGAGGGGATCGATACCACAAATATTTCTTGTTGTTGGGTAAATCCATTTGAATTCAATCACTTTTTGACAGCACCCCTTTTGATTTGATCGTAACCTTCCATACATATTTGCCCATTGTAGAAATGCTCAGAAAGTGACTTTTTGGACCTGAATGCCAAAACATTCATGACATAAAAGGTGCATACCCCACAATACCATTAAACATCCATGTCTTGAAAAGATAAACGGTTGAGATTGATTTAGAATTCTTGAAAAAAAAAAAATCACCTAAATTATCTAAAAACGTCTTCTCTATCTTCTCTTTTTTTTTCACATTCACATCTGTTGTAGCTTAGACCCTATGTTACGTCATCTGAAGTTTTTGTGTTGTGCCCGCCATCGGTTGAGACACAACATGCTCTTGAATACAGGGTGGGTGTCCTAAAATGGGAATAAAATTGAAATTTTTACTTTCAAATGGTACCGGCGGTACATCAGAGAATGTTGACTTGAATGGGAATATCCATTGTTTTAAATTATACTGTCAATCCTCCATAGGAAACCTATTGAAATCATAGAAATATAGATAATAGAATAGACATTACCATTTAAGTTGACATTCAATGGTGGGTGGACCGGCGGCCATCTTTGTGGTAGTAATTAGAAGTTAAAATTGTTATAATCAATTTAAATGTCAATGGTGTACCAGCTAAATTGCAGTGGTCTGGAGGGATAGGTACAGTCTATGAATTATATTTCTATGATAGAAATGCCACCCACCCTGTATTCAAGAGCATGTTGTATCTCAACCGATGGCGGGCACATCACAAACACCTCCGATGATTTAAAGTAGGGTCTAAGCTACATATGCGAATATGAAGAAGAAAAAAAATCGGAGTTTACGCGTTATTAGATCATTTACATTAAAGGTTAAACAATTTAAATTTGTATTCAAATAAATATTTTTCAAGAAATAATAAAATAGTTTGACAACCCTATTTGTAAGCTTTTAAATGATATCAGACTTAACCGTTTATTTTTTCCAGCGATGAAGACATGTAGGTCTCATGGTATGGTGGGGTATGCAAAATGGGTAAACTTTGAGCACCTCTATCTCCTGAATTTTTTGGCATTCAGGTCCAACAAGTCACTTTCTGACCACTTCATCCATGGGCAAAGATGTATGGAAAGTTTTGTTTAAATCAAAAGGGATGCTGTCAAAAAGTGATTGAATTCATATGGATTGACCCTGTTAGTACATTTCAAATGGTAGGCTAATGCAGCTAGGTATTACATAATGACATAATTAGTTACATAGCAGTGCTTGCCAACTTCGGTCCTGAATTACTGGGTGTGCAGGCTTTTGTTCCAGCCCAGTATAACACACCTGATCATCAAAGTCTTACTTTTGCATAGAGCCTCTCTCCATCATTATCCAGAATGAGGACTGCTTTCACAGTGTACAAAGATGGTTCCTGTTAGACAGATGTACACAGACATGAGTAGCAGATAAGTGAGAGGGGGCATACTCTTCCTCTGTGGCAAGATAAGTTACACATAGAGATAGATAGAGGACTCATGTTTATATCTGTGCCATTATAACGTCTGTGACAGCATGGGCAGCGCCATTGAGACTACAACCCATAGAAATTAGTGATGTCTAGTTCGCAAACTATTCATTATTTTTGAACAACTCTTTTTACTGACTCGAGAGTCATATTTTTCTGAGTGACTCTTTCATTTTAGTCGTTTGTTTGATCTGCTAGTGCTGAGTACTACAGCAGGATTAATACACTCCTCCGGCTCAGCGGCTCCAGAGACGAGCTACGATCACCAATGGTCTGTCATACGCACACAGGAAAATAGACATGATAATTGATCGCATGGAGCAAGAATGACTGCAATTACATTTTAGTCATTTAGCAGATGCTCTTATCCAGAGCGACTTACAGTTAGTGAATACATATTTTTTTTATACTGGCCCCCCGTGGGAATTGAACCCACAACCCTGGCGTTGCAAACGCCATGCTCTATCAACTGAGCTACATCCCTGCCGGCCATTCCCTCCCCTACCCTGGACGAATTGTGCACCGCCCATGAGTCTCCCAGTCGCGGCCGGCTGCGACAGAGCCTGGATTCGAACCAGGATCTCTAGTGGCACAGTTAGCACTGCGATGCAGTGCCTTAGACCACTGCGCCACTCAGGAGGTTAATTAATTGATTATTGAATGTTTCAATAGACACAGCTTTGTAGAACCAAAACATACACAGCCTCTGCTCAACAAACTCGAACTTGAAAACGAATCGTTTGGGGTTTGCAGTTCGCGAACGACTGTGCTTATCACCAGGCCTGGCTACCCAGCCTCCTTGCTCCGGGCAAATGCTACGCCACGCCCACGGATATTAGTTTCTTCTCAGCAATGAGAAGTATGTAACGAATGACAGAGCAACGGAATAATTTTGTGTGAGTCGTCAAGCTACTTATCATCCTCACGGCAGTCAAGCAATGCATTCCGCCAAGAGTCGTTCACAATTTAGTCTGATTGCGGCCACAACTAGACCTTGTTTCAAATGTATCAAGAAATAATCTTATTTGTATACCTAGCAATCAACAATTGTACATTGTTTAAACATGAACGAGAGACTCGTATAATCATGACGCGTGGTCCTCTGTAGCTCAGCTGGTAGAGCACGGCGCTTGTAACGCCAAGGTAGTGGGTTCGATCACCGGGACCACCCATACACAAAAATGTATGCACGCATGACTGTAAGTCGCTTTGGATAAAAGCGTCTGCTAAATGGCATATTATTATTATTATTATTATTATGACTCTTTCGAGTTTTCAGATCATCGCTCGCCAGTAGGGGGTCCTGCGTGCTCTGGGCATTACAGACTCAAATGAACGAAATTAGTCTAAATGATCTGTAAAAAGAGCCGAACTTCCCATCACTAGTAGGAATCCCCACCCAGTTGACTACTTTAAAATGGTGGAAGCCCTCAAAGACGCTGCCCATGCTAAAACAGCCTTTTGGCCACTAGAGGCCTCTATCATTCTCTATTTGCATTTTAGTCATTTAGCAGACGCTCTTATCCAGAGCGACTTACAGGAGCAATTAGGGTTAAGTGCCTTGCTCAAAGGGCACATCGACAGATTTTTCACTTGGTCGGCTCGGGGATTAGAACCAGCGACCTTTCGGTTACTGGCACAACGCTCTTTACCACTAAGCTACCTGCCTCCCCATGGCAGGGATGGGCAACTCCAGTCCTCTGGGCCTGATTTGTCACACTTTTGCTAACACACCTCACTCCAATAATCAACTAATCATGATCTTTAGTTTAGAATGCAATTCATTTTATCAGCTGTGTTTGCTAGGAATGGGGGAAAAGTGCAATAGCACGCCGGCCCCTTAGGACTGGAGTTTCCCATCCCTGTTCTATGGGAAAGATGATGCATATACTGGCAATATCCATGTCTCTCTGCCCAAACAATGGAAGTCGTTGTCCACAAAGCGGCATTGGTGGGCTGTCAAGCTCCCGCTTATTCCGCTCTTTGGATTGGTGGATACATCTAATTATTTTAAGACATTTGAATATAGGGTTGTTGACGTCAACCGCCTGTATTCAATCGAGAGAGATGCTATGCTACCAGCCTCATGTCATGAATAGCCCGCTCGAGACAACTCCGACATAATGTTTTTTCACAAAGTTGTGGGATGTCACATGTCCTACTTATATCAGTACCCTCGTAACAACCTAAGCAATACAAAACGTATATTCGATCAAATAAACCATTCCATTTATTGTTGACCAAATTCGATACTGTGACCTCCAGACAAAAACTCCTCAATTGGTGAGCGAATGAAACGAAACAACGCCACCTGCTGGAGAAGACAGATTTTTGGCCGAGTTGGGCTCTCGCTTCGCCTCTTCCTCTCTGTCTATGGTTACACGTCATCACTAGCTAGCTAATTAGATAGCTAGCTAACATTAGCAACTAGTTAGCTAACTAGCTATGATAGCAGGTAAGGAAGCAAGAAATTGTGACATTCGCTAACGGGAAACATTTGTCATTACTAAGCACTGTGACCAGAGATAGAGGATTTAGCCACAGAGTTTATAAATTTATTTAGCTAGCTAGCTACTAACGTTACACTGTTGTAAAGGCTACGTTAGTTTGCTAAAACATCCGGCGAGTTAGCTAGCTAACATCTCCTTCCCATCTCTCGACAGGCAGCAAACACATTATCTCTCGTGGCGTGGCCAAAGTTACTTTAATAAGTCACATCAGGAATTATAACATTTAAAAAAAACATAAACGTTACCAGCATTACAGTATCCATATTCTTCCAATAGTTCCTAGCTAGCAACCTTCCTAGCTAGTTAGCAGCCTAGCTAAATATTTATGTGATCTCCCATTGGATGATATTCCGCGTCAGTCAAAACACATTCTCGACTGAGCACAAGAGTACAAAGGTACAAGGCATTTGCCATCCAGTATATACCATTAAGGTGAATAAATGTTGAATGTAATGTTTCTGTGACTGTAAATGAAACAATTGTGTTACCTGCTCATATCATTTATTATGCAGGATTTAATTCTGAGGGCCAGGGGCCAACGTTTGTGGTTGGAGGAGTTGACTGTGCCAATTGAAACAAAGTTAGGGAGGGACTGTGCAGTTGGGCAGTAACATTTCCAGCAAGCAGTGGTGGTGGTATATCACTAGCTTGCTCTGTGATCCCACATAGCCGAAATAAGGCTTCAACTTCACCACTGCAAACCTTAGGTTTTTACATTACAGCATTATACAGTATAACCTACATGGTAGGCATACAGTAATGGAGGTAGGCCAACTGTATTCCTCTCTGGCTTCATCTCCTCTGTTCTTCCCTTTGATTCCTATTGTCTGTCTGAGTATAGTCAGTCATGTTGTATGAAAAAGTTTTTTTTAAAGAATCATCCCACATTAACCAACCTAATTATCCTGGTTGTTTCTTATGGGAAGTTTCAATCTGGAAAACCATACTAGTGATGGAGTTTCCCCTCTATTCAGAATGGCATCAATGTTTACGTGTCAACCTCCATTTTGGTTAGGAACATCAATTCTGTCTGTTATTACAAGGAGTATTGTGAGTGTGATATTGTTTTCAGGGGAAAGACACATTGCCATTGAAGTTCTTCGTTTTTGTCATAGAATGTATTTTTCCAAATATAAATATAAATGTATATTATATATTATACAGCCTGCATTAAATGATCATATTATCAAAACATTCACTTGCAACAGTGCTGTGGCTAACCGACACATTTTGCAATGCAGCAGTGTGTTTTCACAATTTTACCACTAAATATTTCGAAATTACCCTTGATGTCTGAGAGGAAACACAATATGCAGCCTTAGACTGTACAGTCAAAAGGCTGAATGCTTCTCAGAATAATGTTGGCATGCCATATTGCTTGTACTTAGTATAGCAGTATAAGAATATTTTATTTTTAACAGATTCCTCTGTTCTCATCCTTGATGCCTGTGTTTTTACAGTATAGCCTATTCTTAATATAACCATGACAACAGTGACGGTTAGCACTTTACATGTCTAATCCCATATTGTATTCATCATTTACCTCTATACAATATCGGCAAATGGGTTTTCCTTTCCATTCAATAGAGAGGAAAGAGGGCCTACCTCCATAACCATAGCTACTAGATTTAGGAAGTATATAATGAAGATCCCTTGCCTGCCAATAAAGGACCACAATGGAAACAAGTCTTTTAACTTTTTGTGTATATAATCCTCAGCAATTTTGGTATATGTATCTGTTGCCTGGTGTAACATATTTATGTATTTTAAATTGTCAAATAAAATAAAATAAAATACTTTTTGTATTGGGAGTTAGTGCAGGGTTTCCCAAACTCGGTCCTGGGTGCAAGTTTTGGTTTTTGCCCTAGCACTACACAGCTGATTAAAATAATCAAAGGTTGATGATGAGTTGGTTATTTGAATCAGCTGTGTAGTGCTAGGGCAAAAACCAAAACGTGTACCCATGGTGGGCCCCAGGACCGAGTTTGGGAAACCCTGAGCTAGAGGATCAAATGTTTTCATGTAATTAATGGAAAATCGTAAGATGTGGACACTGTAAAGTTAAAAGGCAACACTTTGGCATTATGCCCCCTTCTGAAGTATGCTCAAGCTTATTAACGGCTTAATCAATATGACTTGACTAAATTGAACAACAGCATTTACTGGTATAACAAATAACCTCTTTCTCTGGTAGTTCTATCATGTTCATCATTAAGGCAAACCTGATGTTCATGGAGATTCTGCAGAAGAGTCAGAAGACGGTGTGTTGCGGTTGAGTAAAATGTTTACCATTGACCAATCGTTACACCGGACTAACAGCAAATGAGGAACACAAACCTGCACTATCATTGCATTCATTGCTAATGCCTCAATATGACCAATGATAAGATGTTCAGATTAGCCTACTTGTGATCTTTCACAATACAGAGTATTTCACCTTTTTAAACCTCACATTTTGAAAAGTAATTATTCTATGACTATGTTCTATGACTATCTTATAAC